TGTCATTCCTGGTTCCTGAACCTGTTCTTGGACTTTGCCTTGTATATTATCCTTCAGATTAGATAGCTAGGCTTTTGATTCCAAGATCCTGACCCTGGCTGGGCATTCAGCTCCTGACCTCTGCCCTTTCAATCCCTGATGCTAGGCCCATCTGGTCTGGTGGACCATGACAATAAGACTCTTCAGTCTCTCCAGGTCTAATATCAACTGGAACCCCTCTTTGACCATCCCTCTCACCATCTGTGAAGACATCTTATGTTCTTCCTAACCCTCTGTCCAGTCAGGGGGCTCTAAGATAGGTTCAGCTGGAGCATGGAGAAAATACAATGGAAAAGATCTCTACTCTACTACTGTGCTGGAATCCTCTGAGGTGACTGGTTCTTACCCTAACTACTTCAGATCCTCAGGTCTCAGTTGCCTGATGGTCCAGCTAAGGTCTTGGGGGTGGGGGCTATGAGTAGACTTTTCCAAGACCACCAGTGATTTAGGAGGCCTACATGACATTGTTGGCGTTCCCATCCATCAGTGTGAGCTACTTTGGTTGTGTCATTCTGTTTGCAGGGACCTTCCCCTGGATCAGTACTGTTTCCTACACTCCTGAGAACTATAGGCCTGAAGTCCACTGTTGGCAAGGAGTCAGAAAATTGGTAAACCAGACTCGACTAAAAGAACTAGGCCCTCTTTAACAGTTCACCAGCAGGGGTGTAGCCATGCTGATTAAGAGGGGCTGCATGTTTCAGTGACGATTACCTCGTGCCTTCATTTGGCTGCTGCAGTCCATTCAGCAGCTGGTGCCCTCCCAGAGGGCACAATATCTTCTGGAGACCACTGCTGAAAGGGACCAAGCAGCATTGCCAGAAGCACCAGGGTGTACACATACACATCCGGTGGTAGTTGCTGACTGCAGACAGAAGTTCTGACAGCAAAGGTAGTCTGCTGTAGACAAGGCCTAGGATTGGCAAGCCTTAACACTTAGTAGCAACACCTTCTTACTACCATGCTACCACTCCATTACAAGAGCCGCAGTCAGTCTCTAAACTGCTAAGACCTGTAGCAGCTAGGGCTGACATACTTCTGAACAACTGAGGGAGCTTTTATGTTACTGTGTTAACACTATGGATACGGGGTGAACTCCATGCAGTTCTCAAGAAAATGTCCTCTGTGGTTCCATAATTCTGCCACTGGGCATCTCAGATGCCCCAACTTGGCCAGAAATGTCAGAGTAGCAACTGATATGCAAATCTTTCCTCCAGGTTTCTCCCAAAGAGAATATTATACATACCCACATCTTAAACTCTCCAGAAAGAAGTCTAGTGACAACACAGCAGATCACAAGTTCAGAGTACATAAGAAAGCACCTATAGGCTGCCGGAACCCCAAGGACACTACTTTGTTTCTATCTATGTGAAAGCAAAGTTACACTTTAATGGAAGGCATATATATCACACTACAAAATAAACAACCTGACCTTATTTTATACCATAGTTCGACTTACAATATACTGCTTTCTCAAGTTTGTTTATAAATAAGAATGTTATTGAATGCATGTTAAACAACTGTTTAAATTTCCAGCAATTCACTGGCAATGCTATAATTTTTTGCTGAAACAGGCCTGTGTGAAAACTGAAGACTGTGCTTCACTGAAACTTTCTTATCTTAATGTAATTTTAGGAGGATAAACATGTAAACAGTATATCTGCTAATTCAAGCAATCAACTGTGAGCTTGCATCTAAACCTGGCGAGTTTATTTGCTGCCTCCTTGATGCAAAAATGCCATGCAGTGTCATTTAACAGTGAGCTCTCAAGTGCATCAAGATGGGGCATTTTGACTCCATTAGTCCCATCTCCCCATATTAACATGTTGATGAAGCAGAAAAAAAGACTGGAGCCAAGATTAAGGCTGGGCTTTTTTCAGAAAACTGAAATCCTCCTTGTTCCCAACAGCAGGTAAATGATAACCAAAACTTTTTCAAGGCTCCAAAAATACTAATGATTTATTGTCCACTCCTGGTTTGGAGCTAAGCTCCAAACTGGAAATGCTGAAATGCTTTCAGCAAAGCTGCTCTTGCAGTATTTACATACATGAGTGAAAATCAAAGTGTTACACACTGTTTTCTGATTCCCAGCCAGCTCTTCAGATGTGAAGAGGCTTGCATACCTTGGCCGAGAGAGAGAAAACATTTCATACTTGGGGGACTTAACTCAACTGAGAAACAAACTCCAGAATTTTGAGGTTACTCATTCAGTGATGAGTCAAAAAGGGGATCTGCCAAATAAATGCCACTGTTATACTATAAACAGGCACATACTGCATATTACTTTGCAAACTCTAATATGAAGAGCTTCAGGTCAGTCCTTCAGACTTGTCCCCTGGGAATTTTATTTCAGTCTTTGTCAACAACAGGATGCGTGTTTCCTTCTTTCATCTGGATCTTTAACTAGTCATTGGCTACTTCTAAAACAGAAACCCCTGAATCTTGAAGTACACAGTCACCTTCCTCCACAGGAACATAGTCCCCATCTGCCAGAGAACTAAAGTCCTCAAAAACCACTGGAGGAAAATCTAGAGAACTGTAGGGGTCAAATGCCTCTGGAGGGAAAGCTGGAAAACAACAGTCATCATATTCTTCTGAAGGGAAATCAGGAGGACCACAGTCCTCAAAATCCAGAGGCATACAATGCTCAGCCTGCAGAGGAACACAGCTTTCAGGAATAAAGGCAACAGAGTTCCCACCATCTGCAGACATGGGCGGTGATTTAGGTACTTCAATCCCTGAAAGGAAGAAAATAGATCGATGTGATACCCCTGCACTGTGACCAACAACTGGCTAATGTGTCTGTTGCCCAGAATAGGCCAAAGTCTAAAGACACAAGCAGAGTAAGTGGTAAAGTGGCAATTCTCTCTCCTTCTTTCAAAATGAGTACTTCTTAACCTATGCATGGAAATGGGAGAAGAAAAGAGCATCGAGAAAAATAACAAAGGGAAGAGTGTAAGATTACGCAGTTCCCTCCTGGGATCTTGCTTTCCTTGTTTGATTACTTTTTCTACATCACGCCACCACACTTCCCTGTGAGAGTGGCATGTGTTCAGAAGGACTCAGCATATTTGGTGAAACTCTTTCAGAAGCATAACTGATGCTTAGGATAAGTGTTAAGTGTCAATTATTAAATGTTAATGTATTAACATAACTGACATGCGGCACGTGTATTAGATACTACACTACTCTAATGCTCACAAGCTCCATTTTCCTGGCCAGCTTCAAACTTAATTTTACATTACTGAGAAAAGCTGGGGCTTGTGGTTCTATTACTTTTGGAGTTATTAAATATAGCAGCTGTAACCATTGCCCAAATATGGTCACCTAGAGCAGGGACTACAGACTGAGCTTAGCAGCCCTGCATAGTCTGTAGCATCAACCCCCTGCAGGCTTAAAATATAATTATGTTACACTTGACTAAAAGAGCACCTTGGACTTCTGCTGTTACGGGAAATTCTTCACTTCAGTTACATACTCTCCTTTCCTGTTCGAAATGTGGTTCGACTTTTGCATTTGACTTGGCTTTACATTTGACTTGGCTTTCACTCCTGCCCCTGCTTACCTTGAAAACTGGAGATATTTAAAGATACAGGCAGCTTGTTGAAACCGCCTGCAGCTACTTCTGCTTTAGCATCAACATCTTGATTGAAAGCTTTGTCCCCTTGCTTGGTGGAGTCTGCAGTGCTTCCTTTTCCTGAATGGCAGTCTTCATCCTGATCTAAACAAGAAGGCACAATATAGTTAAAAACAAACATACACAGACCATAGGCATTGACCACAGACTGTAGTGTCCAACTTCTGGTCTTCAGGCCAACACTTGTCCTTCTTCCCCAGTGCCTGCAAACTGGAAACTGAGGTTTTCAGAGTCGGTAAAAAAATATAAACTTAAAACTGAAGCTTGGGCCATGGAATCCTGAGGGGAAGAGAATGGGGATTTGACCAGGAAAACCCCTTTATCAGACGCCATTAGTAGCACTTTCACATGAGAGGCACTAAAAAAAAACAGTTACAAATTATTCCCTCATCAGAAAGTTTTTCTTTTTAGTGCATTGGGGCTGGGGGAAGGCACAGATAAATCTAGCACCATTGCTGCAACAGCTTGCGAGGCATGATTTATGCTAGACCAGTGACAGACTTCTGCTAGGGCCAACCCAGCTCAACAGCTGCACCTAATTCTCTTGAGTCTTCCATAAATAGGCATGAAGGCTGAATTTGTTACTGTTTTACAGCAACACATACATGTGGGCCCTAAAACCACAGCCCAGCCTTGACATAATTAACAGAAATACTAGTTTCTCACAGTTGAGAGTGAGAAGCTGTAACCAAAATCTCACACAGGACCTCTTGGACGCTGTTCTGATTATTTTTAAGGAGCTGAATCAATATTTTAAAATGATGTCATTTTCAGCTCTGAAATAATCTATGCAGGATCTTCAGACACATTGCTAATTGTTGCTACTGGGGAACTCCACCCCAGGAGGTCACTTTCCCTTACACCAACATGAGAACCAGGGTTTGAAGTATGGGCGGGCTCAGGGGGGGCTGAGTCCCTCCATAAGAGAAGAGCCCCCCAAAAGTCCCCCATAAAAGACAAGACCCTCAACATAAGAGATGAGAGCCCCTGGCCTGCCCTGCACCCTTCTAAGAAGCTCAGGCAGCGGTTCCTTCCAGCTTCCACCTGCCACCGCTGCATACCCTCACAAGAGTCCAAATGTAATTTGAACCCTGATGAGAACTGATGGCAGAGACTGGTGACAAACTCAAAACACAAGCCCAGCTTGCAGAGATTCATAAAACTTTCAGGAGACTTGGACTGAACTGCAAGTACTAAGGAGAGGTTTGTGGTCTGCAGTGAAAACCAAGAAATATTCAATAGATTTCTATGGTTACTACATGAAGCCAAGTGCAGTTCAGGAGTTTTCCAGGGTTTGGCTGAGTTTAGCTTTGCATTTGGGGGGTTTACATTCCCAAAACTCAGGGACATGAGAACAAAGGCTCATCTGAGACCTGTGAAGTGGAACAGCTAAGTCTTGCCAGACTTTATACACTTAGGGCTCCTATACACATGCAGAGAGGCTGCTCTGATGCACTGTAATTTTATAGCACATGGGAGCAGACTCCAGCTTCATGTGTATCAGTGTCCCTGTGCTGAAAAATGGCAGCAGGGCACTTTTAACTAAAGCTCATTCAACAAGCTTTAGTTCAAAGTGTCCCACTGCCATTTTTCAGCACAGGGACGCTGACACATGTGACACTCTTGGAGCTGCATTAATTAAAGCACCCCCCTCCCCTGCCTTCTGGGGCACCTGTATAAATGCCCTTAGTTATTTTCTCTGTTACTACAGAGGGTGGGATTAGTGGCTGGAGAAATCTAGTTGCTTCATTTCAGTAACTCAGTCATTAATGTGATAATTTACAGCTCAGTGCACACCTGCCAGATCTAGTTGCGTCCTTGGTCTCCTGAGGGTCCCACATTAGCAATAACAGCATTTTTCAATGAGTGCCACCACACTTCAGGCATAGGCCTGGCTCTGAAGCAGGGGAAGAAGTCATTGTTACTAGCACAGGGCAACTTTTCAGGATATGCTTTTTGTTTTAAATTGGAAGGGGGGGGGGGGACCAGAAAGGGATAGGAACAAAACTAACACAGTTTTGAAAGCAAGAGTTATTAGATTCAACATAGGAGAGGTTTAGATAAGACTCTGGCCTGTATAGTAAAAGAGGTTTCATGGTCCCTTCCAACCCTAATGTTCTTGAATCAGTAGACTAGTAAATGAATGGGAAAATGGAGCAAAGAAAAAGCTCAGCAAGTGACCATGCAGCAGGTAGTTAAAGGGACCCAGCTGTTTCCTTCACAAATTAATAGAAGATCATCCACTGCCAACATATCCAGCACCTCAGCCAGCCCAATTTACTATAAAACCGGGTCTGATAAAGCACATTCCCAATCCTTTTTCCTCTATATTATGGCAAACATCCTTTCATAGGCAATTTTTTAAAGATGACTGTGACTTTACAGAATGTCATTTTAGTGGAGGCTCCTTTATCTTTTTAAGTAGTGAAATTTGTTCCAGTATAATTTCTACTTGAATACTGAATTCCCTGCTGCTTAAATCACATACTACAGAACTAGACTACAGCACATATTATTAACAACCCCACCTCAGCAGGGGCCTGGTGGTAAAGGGGTAAGACGGGTATGATCTAGGGACCTGTGTATCCAGGGCAAGCACATAGCAGCAGCCCATCTCCAGGGTGGCAGGGCTTAGCACTGATACTGTGTTAGGAACATTAATGGGCACAATTGCCATGATGCTGCTCTGTGAGTTGGCAGTCATTTTAGCATGTTTTAAAAAGTCCTTTCTCTCTGAGCTCTGCTTCACATACATTGTTTGGTTACCGAAAAAAAATCCCCAAAAACAAAACAAAACCCCTGAAAAAACAAAAACAAAAGTAAGTTCAGCCACCTCAAAGCAAACCGACATGCATGTTGTTGTCAACAGCCCCCTTATGTTTCCCATCCTAGCAACATCTCTTGGCTAAGGGGATACTCACTTTGCCAGGAGACACTCATGCCTCCCTCCTCAGATTTCCTAGAGCCATCACTGTGCCTCCTGAGGCTCAAATCCGCACGCTTGAAGCTAGGGGGTTTAAAGAGACCTTAATCCAAATAAAATAAGAAAAGCATTAGACACGTGTGAAAGACTTGCATGGAAGAGCAAGCCCTGCCTAACTACAGCTCATCCCACTGAGACCTGTCTCCCACCACCCGTTGGAACCCAAGAAATGTGAGACAACTGAAGAACTGTAAACCATGGGTCTGTTACATGGCTCATTTTAATGCTTTCAATCACTCTCAGGACATTTCCTTTCCCTGTTTGTCTCTTCCTCCAGTCAGGTTTTACTGCTTGTTTAGTTTCTCCTGGAGTTTCAGCTCTCTCCTTGTGTTCCACTTTCTCCTTCCCTCTTGCTCTATACCTTAAACACTCCCTTAGACCAGTGCTTCTCAAACTATCTGATGTGGCAGACTGGCAATTTTTTTTCCAGTGGACCAGGGACTGGTGCCCGGTTCAGCTGGTGGCAGCAACTGTGTGTAACAGTGCTACACAAATGCGCGACTGACTGTTTCTTTCTCTTTCCTCACCTCGCACGATGTGACGTCACCTGGAGTGTTGGAACATACAAACTGTGGCGCTATGAAATATCAATGTTATGCTTCTGAAAATATATTTCTTTCTTTCCTGGCAACTTGCTGCAGACCGGCGACCGGTGGCTCGCGGACCGGCACCGGTCCATGGACCACCACTTTGAGAAGCACTGCCTTAGACCACCCGTCCCTTACACAGATTATAAACTCACATGTCCCTGGTGGAACATGAGGACCATCTCTCTCCTTCCTAACAACTCCTGGAGGTGCATCCTTTGGAAAATATGGGTTGTTTGGTCTTAAACAACTTAGTAATATTGCACTCCTCTTTCATCTAGCCCCATGTTAATCTCATTCTGTGGTCTTCTTCTAGCCTGTACTTGGACAAACTGCCTTGCCCCCATCTCTTTCCACTGCCAACTGCCTGCATTGGGGGAGCACAGAGTAGACTGGCTCCTCTCTTCCTTTCTGCATCTCTGGGCGTGTGATGCCATTAACACATGGACACAGTGATAATGTCATTTTGCATGGCTTAATGGCATCACAGTGTACACATGCAGGACTTTGTGGGGTTTTAAATGACTTGCATCATTGCAAACTAAACTACATCTGGATGTAATTTAGTTAACAACTTTGCAAATTGCAATGATACAACTGTCAGCTTGCCCCCAGCTGCAGAAGAGGCGGGCAGGCTCCTCAGGAAAAAAAGATTGGGCCCCTCACCACTTCTGCCTTCAACAGGTGCCTGCTGAAAGGGGTGCCACCACCACAGAGGGAAGGACAAGGGTCCCTGTAACAGGGGGCCTTCTCAGGGCCGCTTTCCCTGTGGCCCGCCCACCTGTTTCTGGGCTAACCG